CACTGGGTTTCTGAGCCCAGTGGACGCTCGTTACTGTCATCGGGCCAAACTGGCGGTGGCTTCTCTCAGAAAGCTGTTTGTTTTCTGAGACCATCACCCACCAAGGTCGTTAGACAATGCAAATGAGGTTCTGCTGCTTTCATCATTCCTTCAAAGATGTTCGAGCAGAAGAAAGCACCTTCCATTTCACAGACATGCAAAAAGGTTATGTTTATGAACATCCCTGACTTAAAAGCACCCCGTTAGTGTGTACAACTGCAGAGCAGGAAACGGTTAGGATGCATTTTAAGAAGCTGGATTTAAAAAATATATTTTTTATTGATTTCAGAGAGGAAGGGAGAGGGAGAGAGATAGAAACATCAATGATGAGAATCATTGATTGGCTGCCTTCTGCACACCCCACCCTGGGGATCGAGCCTGAAACCTGGACATGTGTCCTTGACCGGAATCAAGCCTGGGACCCTTCAGTCCCTAGGCCAACACTCTATCCACTGAGCCAAACTGGAATTTTTGATTAGGGCAGAACATGGATTTTTTTTTTTTTTCAGAGCACTGACTTCATTTGTAAAAACTTGACAGCTTTTATATGACCTATTTAAAAACAAAATTCCTGGTTTGTTGCCTGTGACATTTAGTTGTGTATTATGAGTCGATAAATTAGTGGAAGAAAACCTTATTTATTTATTGCCTTCAAATACCTTGTGCCGAAAGCATGTGCTCTGTATGTCACTTTCACATGTGTGCATTCTGTGGTCTCATCCACAGAACACCAGGTCTGAGTCAGAGGCACACAGGCCAGTGTGCTACCAGCCCAGCCTCGTCCTTCCTCTCAGACCCAGTCCTGTGTGTGGGACTCAGAGCTGTCACCTTTGTCTTGAACCTCTCAGCTTTGACTTGCTGAGCCTTGTAGTCATTTGGTTTCCTGGGCTTTGAACTCGCTGGTTCCTGAGGCAGACTTTCCCCCATCCTTGTGTTCTGGGGCACAATCAGTGAGTAGACAGGTATATCTGGAAGGCCTGTCAATCACTAGGCCACCCCTTCATGGAAGCCCCTGAGCTGACTGATGTCTCTATGGGGCCACCTCCAGGTCAGACTTTTACTCTGGACCCTTTTCTTGCACTGGATGGCGGGGATTCAGGACCATAATCTCTTAGCCTTCAGGCTCCCACACTTCCTCCCTCTCATTCCCCCAGGCCTACACACTATCGAACTGCTCCCACCCCTTCTTTTTAAATCTCAACCACCTCCTCTCTCCACACAATCTAACTTCCATCCATTCTCTTACGCTCTGCATATTTTGTATTTTAGATGGAGTCTTGTTTACTGAGATACCTCCCTATCTTTCAAATGTTGGTGTTCTGTGTTGCAGGCTGGTAGGATCTGCTCCTCTGCTGCCTTTTCCATTCCAGGCGGTCTCTTGGACAGACCAACCCAAATCTTCAGCTTGTATTCCTCACGTTCTTATGATTCTCAAGTCTCTCTTCTTCCCAGATATCTGTTGTGACCATCTATTCCCTGTTTCTTTATAAATACTTCTTATTATTGGTTTCCAATTACAGGAACTAGCACCATCGTTATTTTTCTCAGTCTAAGGTAGGGGTATCGAACTCAATCAGAGAAGGGGCCAAAATCTAAAATCCAGCCTAAATCGCGGGCCGAATGGTTGACTGAACAGTCATAAACTGTCATTGTGATGGAAACGCAGTGGAGTGCAGTGATGACAGCGCGGTGCGGGCCACATTGCAAGGCCTGGCGGGACGGATTTGGCCCGAGGGCCTTGAGTTTGACACATGTGGTCTAAGGCATTACCAGCCATTTACTTTCCATTCACCTGAGAACCTAGGACAGGTGTCGGCAACCTGCGGCTCCGGAGCCGCATGCGGCTCTTTTTGTTAAGTGAAAAAATCCTTTTTCTGCACGATCCGGTATACAGCGTTAAGGTAAGAAACAATATATGCAGTGTTACATTTGTTTTAAATGTCGCAATGGTTTTGCGGCTCCCAGGTGTTTTTTTTTCCTTCGAAAACAGGTCCGAGTGGCTCTTTATGTCTTAAGGTTGCCGACCCCTGCCCTAGGAGAAGACTTTTGACTCTCATTCCTTCAACCCAACCAACCATTGAAAATAATGTTTGATAGGGGTTGGAGGTGTTTTAGCCAACTCTTGATTATTTAGTGAGGGACCAGCAAGGATGGAAATAGTTACAGTTTTTTAAAAACTAGTTTCTACTGTGAATCCCTCGTGCTTCCTGCTACTGAGGAGCAGAAAGTGTGTATCTGAGCCAATCTCCTTTAGTTCTCTATGGCTATTTCTGATGGGAACAGTAGTAATGAGCTGATAGTATGTAAAAATGACTACTGACTTATCATTAGATTACAAATAAGGTAACTTTTTTCCCCCAAAAGGAAGACATTAGATCTGATTTACTAAGCAAATGCTTTACTGGAAAGTTTTCTCAGATTTGGCATCTGCTGTGGAATTGGGGTAAACAGTGGTAAGTAGCCAAGTGTGAAATGCAGGGCAGAGGAACAGTGTTAGACAAACAGCTGAGGGAAGAATCTCAGTAACCTTCCAAACTGGTTAATTAACCTAAAGATGAGTCTCACTAGTACTTAATTTTTCCCCCAAGAGCTTCCGAGTTTACTCTTCCTGATAGTCTTCCTTTCTTATCTTTTCCTTGAAAAAGGCAATTTGTTCTTAGTCTAGCGAAACCAAGTAAAAATAAATTAAGTGAATAGACATTGACATTTACAACACAAAAGCTGAACAAACTGGGTCAAAGTTCATTGTCAAGTGACAATAGAACCGGAGTTCAGGTAGGGACAGTTTGAGGGAACACTGTTGCAGTGGTGACTCTCCGTGGTGCTGAAACCCCCACCTATCAGGCTGGTTAGGGTAGAGTCTCTAAGCAGTTAAGACAAGAGAACTATAGATATTACTGAGAATAGCTTACACTTACACATTGCAATGAAAAATTGCATTGTTTAATAGGTGTGATGATATTGTAAAAAAAAAACACAAAACTTGGAAATTGTAGGAAGAAGTGATATTTCTGAGGGTAATTATTCAACCTGAAGTATCTTAAGCTTGATTTTTCTTATTCAGCAATGTGAAGGTTGTTATTAACACATTAAATTGGTGATTTTCCCACTATACATATTTAGCTAATATAGTTAATTTGACTATTCTATTTATAAATTTTAAAACCAATTGAGAATATTAAGAATTTAGGGAGTTACTCTTAAAATCTTTCTAGGGAAAAACACATTTTTAGGGTTTAGGAGCAATTAGAAAACTATCATTTTATATATAATTTAGAATTATAATTAGTATTTCTAATTCTGTTACAATTCAATACAATTTTCAATACAAGTTTTATTTTGAAACCTTATCATTATATGAGCAGTAGTGTTCACCACACAAAGACCTATGTTTTGTTTTTATTTTCTCAATGCAATGTTGTTTTTTTATAACACTTTGAACTTTTTTGCTCTCCATTGCTTCTTATAGCTCATAATACCACTAAATCATTTCTACAAGGCAAACTGATTTTGAATATTGATCTATTTTAAAATATGAATGAGCTACACGCTGAGGTTTTGAAACATAAGTGAAAGGAATCATCTCTGGGGGTGGGTATGCAGGGAAGTGAAGCAGGAATTATGCTGATAGACTCAACTGAATTCTGGACTTGGATGTTATTTTTAAATACAACATTACACGAAGAGGAGAAGGTGGAGGCACACTTAACGCATATGAAAAGGCAATTACTTGATATCAAAATTAGACAAGGACATCACAAAGAAAGAAAAGTACAAGTCAGTATTCCTATAAAACATAGACACAAAAACCCTTATGAAAATATTAGCAAACTGAATTCAATCCTAATATGCAAAAAGCCAGGGGCTTTTTCTTAGGAGATACATGTTGAAAGATAAATTCACCATGAAGCCAACAACTTCCACTGGGCTGAAAAGAAGGCATATGTGTACAAACACACATAGCGCACACCTCCGAGAAAGGAATGCAGCCACATGGAAATAACTGGTGATTTTGGTGAAGGGAGCCATTTTCTGTACCAAATTTCAAGGTTCACATAGGTTTGATTTTCAATGTAGCAAGTCGAAGCAAACTCTCTCTGCTGGGCCCATGGATTTCTCGGTCCCCTTTGGGTTTATTGTCTGTATTCCGAGTTGTTGTGAAGCTTTCTTTAAAAAAGAAAAGGCGTTTCTGGTTATCATTTTGGAGTCTCTCCCCTGACATTCAGCTCATTCCAGAATGTCTGGGCGATGTGATTTCTTTGAATGAATATGCTAGTAAATAAAATAACTCCAATGAAAGAAATGATGTTTGTTAATCTCCATGGAGCTCAAATGTTTAGGAAAAAATATTTGAAAATAGTATAGACGTGTCCTCTCTGCTTTATAACTGGTGCTCAGTAATTAAGTGCTTAAACGTGAGTATTTTATAAACTTCTAAAGGTCATTAGAACAGCTGATCGCAGCAAAGATAGCTTGACAGGCTCACTGCAGACCTGTGGAAGGCCCCATCCGAGGCCCTTTAAGCAGGTGTGCATGCTCTCCCACACCACAGATGTGTCCCTAGCGAGCCCTTTGAGGCAAGCATGTCAAACTTGCCAGTAAGCCTCCTTTAGCTGCCAGCTGGCAGTTGGACATGCTTGCTTTAAGGGCTGCAGGAGGGGGGCACAGCGGGCCTGGGAGCTGGTGACTGTGGAGCAGCTCTTGCTTCTCCCCGAACTCAGGCTCCCACTGCAGAGGGAAGACCATGTGAGCACCTGCTCCCAGAGGCGGTGAGGGTGGGGCCCTTTCCATGTTGTCACGTTGCCAGGCCCGGGAAAGGGCGATGGCAGTGCTTTCTGCGTCTACGCCTCCTCATCCTCTGTCCCTGGAGTAGCTGCGCTGGACTGAGGGCTGTTTTGAAGATGTGAACGGTGACCCTGACCAAGTCATCTCTTCTTTCTGCTTCTCTGTCGCCAATGCAGGTTTCCCTGGGGCTGCTGCATGCTCTTGCCACGCACATCCTGTGGCCCCCGGAGCGCTGGCAGAGGCTGCAGTCCATGCTGCCCCCGGAGCGCCTGCCGGTGCAGAGCGAAGACCAGTGAGGGATGTCCCATCGCCTGCCCTGGAGGCACGGGGAGGCCCCCCACGGCCACCTGCACAGGAAGGGGGGCCGCCACACGGAGACCCTCTGGCACTAAGATGATTAGAAGTTTAAAAGTATTAAATTATATTAAGTAGCACCTGATTTTGTGGTCAATTGTAATATCGCGTTGTTTTGTGTCAAAAAAAAAATATGCCGGCCTTTGGGAATACAGAAGTTGTATTCTCATTTGTCTGCGGGAGGTTATATTTGAGGTTGTGCCCTGCATCCCTATCCTGCTGGTTGCTGGGTGTTGATTTCAGTGCTTGCTGCTGGAAGAATGTGCAAATGAACCTAGGTGAACGCAATGGCTTGAGTGATGTCACTTGCTGTTCAGCTGGAACAGAAGAAACCTGTGGTGCACATACAGATGGGAATTACATCGTGATTGACAGCTTCTACCATGCAGGGACTGCCGGGGGACAGGTTGTGCTGTAATGTGAAATAAAGCACTCATTGCTCAGGTATTGCTTTGCTTGTCATTTCATCTGTACGTCCACGAAGGAGGACTGCCTTCTCTCTTGGGGAGGACCGATTCTGTCAATACTTCCATACAATCATTGGCCCTTTTTACTTGAAAACTGAGGGATCCCATGACTGTTCACATGATGGGGGAACCCATTTGTCTGTATTCGGTCACTATTTCATAAACTGTTCTCAGTGAAATGGAAGAAAAAAATCCCTCCCGATCAACCACGTCTGATATTTTTTTTACCCCAGTGATTTTCCAGTGTTCACGTCTGTAAGGCTGACCACAGTTGCTAAGTGTTATAGTATTAGCACAAGCAAGCCTGTAATTGTATAGATAAGGTGGCAAATGGCCAGCATGCAAGTCTGTATTTATGATGTGTTTCTTCCTCTTCCCTCCCATGGACCTGAGGCTCGCGCTGATGGAAGCTAAGCCTCTGACCCCATTTCCTCTGCATGCCTGGTCTCCCTCTCCTGTTTCATCAGCAACAGAATCCCAAACAAGGACCAGCCCTCTTGCCGATGTGGATGCACACTCATGAGCTTGCAGGGACAGAGGCTCAACAGCAAAAATACATGCATGTTAAGGGCATATGTTGCTAATAACAATTCATTGTCATTACAGTAAGTAGCTTGCTCACCAAACATCAGTGCGTACTTATGTATTAACATTGGTCAAAACTAAAAGTTTTAAAAGATAATACAAAAAGTTTAAAAAAGATAAAAACCCTCCATTTTTTGGACCTTATTTTCATGGTTTTTGGATTTAATGGACGAAGTCCATATGTCATATGTTAATTCTAAATTGATTTTAACCAAGATTTGCTTATGATTAAGTCAACAGATTATTTTTCATTATTAATTCACTGTTAGTTTTAATAAGTTTTAACGAATAGGTCATAAGTTGGGGAAACATGGTAGTAATTTCACAGACATAAATATTACACATCTACAACTATCGTCTACATATTTAAATCCAAGAGTCACTACTTGTAAACAGTGTTTGGGAATGATGAGCACGTGATCATGGGCATCGCTCCAGGTCCGGTCCTGCTGCTGCACAGCACGACTTTCTGCAACAGTGGTAACTCCCACTGGCCGATGTTCCCATGGCTCTGAGTCACACCCCAGCCGTGCGCATTTACTTATGTGACTGGTGAATGCATGCATTCACTAGACCTTTCAGTATAGATTTAAAGTTATATACATACATACATACATATATATATATATATATGTGTGTGTGTGTGTGTGTGTGTGTGTGTGTGTGTGTGTGTATAAAATCTGTGGAATTAAACTTTGTGCACACTTAATTTTAATTACACAAATGTGTCTATGTAAGTAAACTAATTTTTTAAAACATATTCATTTACAGAGTAGAGCAAAGAATCTTAAAATTTGTATGACTGCAAAAGGACCCAATTATCCAAAAGCAATCTTCTGAAAGGAGAACAAAGCTGGAGATATTGTCCTCCCTGATTTTAAACTACATCATACATTTCCCTATTTAAAGCGCTGTGCTAGCGACCTTTGGCACAGAGGTCAGTGAGACAGAACAGAGAGCCAGAAGTAATCCCATACTTACATGGCCAGTTAGTTTACAACCATGGAGACAAGAGCATACAATGGGGAAAGGACTGTCTCTCCAATAAACACTGCTGGGAAAACAGGGCAGCCACAAGCAAAAGAATAGATCTGGTCTCTCTGAAACCATACTCACAAATGAACTCAGAGTGGATTAGAGACTTGAAGGTAAGACCAGAAACCACAAAACTCCTAGAAGAAAACTTAGGAGGTAAGTTTCTTGACATTTTCTTGGTCATGATTTTTTGGATTTGATACCAAAAGCAAAGGCAACAAGAGCAAGCATAAAGAAGTGGGGTGACATCAAACTAAAAGGGTTCTGCACTGCAGAGGAGCCATCAATGGAAGCAAAAGGCAATGTGCTGATGGGAAAACATTTTCAAGTCAGATATCTGATAAGGATTTAATATCTAAGATGTATCAATGACTTATACAACTCAATACAAAAATAAGTAAGCAAGCCAGTCAATTATAAAAACAGGCAGAGAATCTGAGATTTCTCCCCAAAAACCAATAATACCGATGGTCAACAGATACATGAAAAAGGCGCTCAACATCACTGATCATCAGTCATGCAAATCAAGGCCAGAGAGTTCACTTCACACCTGTCAGAACGGCTGTCATAAAAAGGACAAGAACTAATAAGCGTTGTTAAGGATGTGGAAGGAAGGAAATCTTCATACACTGTTGGCGGGACTGTAAATTGGTTTAGCTTCTATGGAAACAGTATAGGGGCTTGCCACAAAATTAAAAATAGAACTACCATATGACCCAGTAATTCCACCTCTGGTATTTATCTGAAGAAAATGAAAACACTAACTCAAAAAGATACATGCAGCCCCATGTCTGTTGCAGCATTATTTACCATAACCAAGACATGGATATAAACCATGTCCATTAAAATATGGATGGAAAGAGAAAGTGTGATCTATAGATATGTATATTAGTCAGCCATACATGGAAATATTGCCATTTTCAACAACATGGATGGACCTTCAGGGAATTATGCAATGTGAAATAAGTCAGAAAGAGAAAGACAAATACTATATGATCTCACTAATATATGGTATCTAACAAAAATGAGCTGAAAGATACAGAGAACAGATTGGTGGCTATGAGAACCAGAGGCAGAGGTGGGGGGTAGAAGGAAGGAAGTAAGTCATGGGGATGATATGCGCAGCATAGTTACTATAATTAGTACTGTGTTGCATACTTGACAATTGCTTCAGAGAGCAGATGTTAAAAGATCTCATCACAAGAAAAATTGTAACTGTTTATGGTGATGAACATTAATTAGACTGATTATGGTGATCATTCCACAATATATATTGTACAATTGTGTTGTACACTTTAAACTACTATAATATGTCAATCATACATTAATTGTAAAAATAAATTGCAGAAACCACGTCTCCAATTGGGGTCCTGATTCCTTGATGCCTTGTGAATTCTCTCTTTTCTGCTAAGTCCAAGTATAATTGAGTCAAGCCACAAACATCAAGAGTGTCCTCCTACACTACCAGTTTCCCCCTTAAATACATGAGGATAAACCTGCCTAAAAATTTATATCTTCAGAGTCAGATGTACCTTGAGAATCAGTCTTAACACCAACTTCTGAAAACAAAATCTTCACAAATGTCTTTATCTTGTCATAGTCACTCTCTCCTTTATTAGTATGGGAGAGACTTCAACAAAACTATTCTCTTTTTCCCAGAAATATCTCTATGTTATATTTTCCAGGTTCCTTTGCTGTTAGCTATGACTATGTTTGGGTTCTTGCCAACTCGGGTGTGACTGAAAGTGATGAATGTGCCTGGCACATGAAACTTCTCCTGGGCACCTCTGGGTTCTTTTTAGGTCTTCCGGTGGGATGTCCATGATGATAAAGCCCTAAGGGTAGCACACGATGGAAAATGTATGGGTCTCCAAATGACCCCCTGAAAAATAGCGAGCACAACTTGAACATCCTCTCAGGACTAGCAAGTGAGCAGGAAACAAATGTCTATTGAGTAATGACACCGACGTGTGGAAATCTGTTAGCACCACTGAGTCCACCCTCATCACGTAAGTTAATTAACATAGAGGTTAAAGGAGTTCATCAACACCAAACCAGAATTATATGAATTGCTGAAGGGGGTTCTTTCAGAAGAGAAAGTAAATAAAGATAAAAATTATGAACAACAAATACATAACTATTGTACCAACAAGTGAATCTAAAAACCAAGGAAATTAAAAAAAAATCTGATGAACAATATTAACTGTTGATTATAATAGAATCAGAGGTATGGAAGGGGAGTGAACTGACAATTCTTGGGGAAAAGGGGAGAGGGGATGTGGGAAGAGACTGAACATAAACTGTGCACTTATGGATGAGGACAATGGGGAGTGGGGAAAGGGCAGAGGGTGGGGTGGGAACCTGGTGGAGGAGAGCAATGGTGGGGGGGGAAAATAGGAACATTTGTAATAATATGAACAATAAAAATTTATTTAAAAAAAACAAAAAAATATAGAGGTTTCTGAGGAGACGCACCCCAGTACAGCTTATAGAATGTCTTTGGGTCAGCTTGCTTTGGCCCAAGACTACTACATATGACTTTAAGAGGTTAAGGTCTCTGTTTACCAAACTTGAAAACAAACCTTATAAGCTGATTTTAGTCTCAACAGCAACTGATTACTCAAATTTTGAACTTCAAAGATGCACACACCATAACAAGCATTTTTATATACAATCAGAAAGACTACAGAATGAGGACTTAGACTTGGAAGGGTATCAATATCACCTGAGAAAATATAGGAGTGGGCAAAAGTAGGTGTACATTATTTGATGGAAAAGTACATGCAGGTTATGATCATTACAATGGTGTTATGACTCTGTGTTTTATGTACTCACAACTGTACATGAAACTCAGGAGGAACAGAGTTCGTATCTAATAGTTTACATAATAACAGATTTATTAGAGTTTTCACATTAATTTGAGTTCATTGATATCTATGTTGTAGTGGTAGTAACTTTGCCATTGCCTTACAAGCTTTTAAACATGAGATTAGCACATCTTCAGTCCTATTAAGAGCCTTACAAGAGGGTGATATCCAATCCCCAGCAGAAAAAAATCAAAACCCACATCCTAGAGAGCTGGAAGGACACACACAGCACGAAAGGATCCCAACAAGAGAGTTCACCTCAAACAGAGCATCCGAGGGCTGGCAGTGGGAGGTGCCAGTGACATTCGCCAACACAGGTGTCTTATTTTAGTTCCTAATCTTCTCACCAAATGTAGATCCTCTATTTTTGGTGAAACATTACTTCTCCAAGGTCAAAAAGGAGAATGGGTGCCCCAAACATACATCATTTCCCCTCAGATCGTCCCAACTCCACTCCTTCTTTCTGGAAAAACAAAATTCAACTCAAATTT